CCGCATAATGGGCCGCAGAAACGCTTTCTTCTGCGAAACATTTTCCTCTAAGACCAAAACCCCGAGTTTTTGGTTAAAAATTTTACGGGTCCTTACATAAACGTGGATCTTCAAAATACGGATAATATGGGGCTGATCCAGTGGGGGATTAATAATATCGTGCATTAAATATTCCAAAAGTATGAGCAATAATAGAGGAGTAACTAGCAATAAATAACAATAAATGATATTTATGTAAATAAAAGGAATGATTCACCCAATAATGAATGAGTTAGATGATTGTTCCTCCTAACAATGATACGTGACAGATAAATCCTAGAATGTTCGAACTATTCTCGGATCTCATGGAAAAGTATGGAATAATATGAGCAAGAATGTTGATAAAAAGGTAATATTTGTATCTTTGTTAGAGAGAGAGAGAGAGAGAGAGAGAGAGAGAGAGAGAGAGAGAGAGAGAGAGAGAGAGAGAGAGAGAGAGAGAGAGAGAGAGAGAGAGAGAATCTTCTTCTGAAAAGTGTTCTTATCAAGTGAATATCGCCTGCCTCAATTCCTTATCTTTTTTCCAATTTATTTGGGACATACCCCCCAATAAACCCTAATAGTACAAGTACCAAGAATATCTAACGGAATATTCTCATTAATATCCTGCCCTAATAAACTAGTCGTTACATCTCTTTCTGTAATGCACAATATCGACCATCTTTTGCTTCTCGCCCACGGGCTTTTCCATCTCCTGGTCGACCTCGGCTGACTCTTTTCTCGATGTTAGTCCCAAGTAATGAGACAAATTTCGACCTATACAAATCCCACGAAAACAATAAGGCGAACCTTGAAGTACTAGGATCAATACACCTTGTTCAGGTGTTCTTGGGAGATAAAAAACTAGTTGGATCCCCAAGTACACACAAGTATACGTGGCCGTCAAGTAATAAAGTGACTCGAAAGTCAGATGTCGAACCCACAAAGACTTAGATTAATCGTTAACTAAGCAAAATAAAATCAATTAATTGTCCAAGATAATCAAAAGTTTGGTTTCCTATTACAACTACTATTGCAAATTTTAAACACGTGACCAAGGGAGATATAGATTTCAGGGTTGTGGTTGGTTTGTCAATCCTATTGGGTTCGTAATTACATATGTTAATCCACATTATCTATGATTGCTAGTTGACCGGATCGTTTATATAAATAGCATGTTACTACAATACTATCTGTCTATCCATAATATATAAACCATATATTCCTATGGTCTTGAATCTATCATGAACGAATATAATATGTTATTCAACTAAGCAAGACTATTAGGTATATTCCTATCCTAACCGCGAAATCTTTCCCCGTGCCACGGGTTCAGAAACAAGCTCTCTCTAATTCTAGTCTAATCTAAATACAACTTTCCCAAGTATAGCTATAGATAGTAAATAGAACTCAACTGCTCGCAAAAAAATTAAGCAATTATGCACATAATTAGAGAAACAACCAAAGACGATAACTCGAATTAACGGTAATGTAATTAATAAACTTCAATATTCATGACAACCACAATCCTAGAACGCGAAGTTTAGCTCCACATAGACATGGTAGCAAAACAATAATTCATCCAAAGAAACGTAAAGATTACTAAGTGAGCGTTTGGACATAAGAATTGTAAAATTCCAAAATAGGGGGGAAAATTTTTTTAAGTGAAAATGGTATTTGAAATTTAATTTTGTGTTTGGACATGAATATAATTTTGGGTTATTTTTGAAATTTTGTAAGTGATTTGAGTGAAAATTTTGAAAAACAGCTTTTGGAGTTTTTAAAATTTTCGAAAATTTTCAAAATGCATCTTCAAGTGAAAATTGAAAATTTTATAAACAAACGCAGATTTCGAAAAAAAGTAAATTTTTTTTGGAAAAAAGGAAAAAATTTCTTATGTCCAAATGGGCTCTAAGTTTGATAGAAGAAAGATGGAATCTGATGAATTCCGGCCTCCACGGCTGCTCCGTACTCTCCCTTTCATCTAATAAATTCCGTAAAATAGTGTTTAAAGACTATTTATAGGTGTAGGAAAAATGCCTAGACGAAATAACCAAGTCCAAAACTAAAAAAGAGACAAAATATGCTTGAAATTCGGACCACGCGTCGCCTCGCGGAACGCGTGAAGCACCTCACGTCAAACCGCGTCTCGCGAGCTCAAACGCGATAAGAAAGTCTCGCTTCGCATGCTTATCCAATTTGTTGTTGCCTAACATTTTCTCTCGAAGCTCGTTGCTTTTGAGTGCTGCCAGGTAATCTCCAAACCTTCATTCTTTAATTCTTGTGTCTACAATTGCATGCAATCATTTAAATACATATAATATACTTCCAGAATATTTGCTTTGCTCACAATTTTTACCCCAAAATACCTACACATAAAATAAACTCAATTAAACACAAATATAATACACTTTAGTATTAAAGCACCAAAATGTAAGGTAGGTAACGCACTAAAAATATATAATTATAGCCAAACATCAATAACTTATTGATGTTTTATACTTCAATGTCATATAAGAGGGGGTGATTTATGTGGTGTCCAATTTTCGCGTGCACTGATTATAAAAGGACCTGGTTCTTCTAAGTGTTCCTCATACTACTGTTGCGGAAATAGTAAATGCGGAAAGTAAAAAAATAAGTATTTTTACGTGAAAAATACCTGGCTCAAGAGGTGAAAAAATTACGACCTACTACTCAGTAGAATTTTTCCCAACACTTCACTAAATCAATGAGCTAAACCAGCATTTACAAAACTCTTTGTAAACCTAAGGATTAACTCTAATCCCGTTGTACCAACCAGCCTCTAACTGTTGCGACAACTTCAAATTAAATCTAACTTGAATACTCAGAGTACCTAATACAATTGCTTCTAGAAAAAGCTGAAAGGTACAACTTGAAAACACCTACTACAATTGAACTAGAATAAAAGACAGACGCTTGGAATTGGTTCTTCTATTTAGTCCATGTAGCTTCAGGTTCGCACACTTGAATCACACAGGAATTGTTTGCAAAATGCCTTGCTATTTTGCTCTCAACTCATATTTAACTTCAGCTTTTGTGTGTGCCTGTAGAATGAGAACATCCTACAATTTATAAAGTAAAATAAGAAATAACTAGAATTCTAATGCTACTCTTCCTTGGTGGAAGAGTTCTAGTTATCCTCAACTTCTAACTCCTCCGTTATCTTGAATAGTGTTATCTTTGAGTAAGGAGTCCTTCTCCTTATCAATTATGTAACCTTTTCGACCAGGAGATATCAGATATAACAAGTTAAGCTTGTCTCTTTCACGTGCATCCCTTATGCTCGAATCTGCCCGTGTCTGTGTACACATGGGATGGACCTGATTCATGCCTGAGTTTTTTTGACAATCTTCAAAACAAACTTCACTTGGGCCAACACTTATCCTAACTAGGGGTGATTAGATACAAAGACGAGCAACACCATTTTTCAATCCGAAGGGGAGTAATGAACATGAATGATATTGTGTAATCCAGTGCTCGAGGGAAAAGCATACGTCCAGCTAAGATATTAGCATGTTGGTAGTGTAAAAATTGTTTACCACAGTAGATATAAGGCTGAATATACATATGTAGCCCTTTAAACTTGCTCATTATTTTCATTTAGACACTTCAAAAGATGTATCTATTGGGTACTTGAACTCAAATTATATTGTCAATTGAACACAGTTTTTGCAGCAAGCCAAAATACTTCATGCATGAGGTTCAAATGCTGCTGACATGGCTGTGTTACGAATGAGAAAATGACAAATCAACAAAAAAGATACCCTTTTCTTCCACCTTCCCTTTGGCCTCCTTTATTAAACGCCACCTGAAAATACCGTGCCACAGTGACACCACCAGCAACAAACCACTCCATTTTTTGATTAAACAACTACCCCGTTGCAGTCCAACTTCATCATTCCAATATACTCTATTTCAAATTCTTTTATACATTTTACATTGTTATTTTAAGCTTAATTTCTAAAAAATTTATACCATAAAATTTCAGTAAAATGAGATATATGAATCTTGTTGATTCATGGGATCAAACTTGTTCAACTTTTACTCATTCCATACCCAATAAAAGCTTCAAAGGATTCATGAATAGGTATGTCAATGGCTATAGAAGTAGGTTATCTGAAAGAAATGGGTTTTATATATATGAGGAAGAAAGAAGAAGTCAGATGCTGGTGTTTTTAGGGAGATGTGAGGAGATGGTGTCGACAATGACGGTGGGCGTAACGGCAGCGTCACAAATTTAAAAACAAGATGTACGGGAAGTAATGGATGGTTTTTGAGTTAATTAGAAGGACAGAACAATTTGTCAGGTGCCTAGCTTTTTTCGTTTTCATGTATGAAATTAATTAGCTTTATCTAATGCAATGTTGATAAAAGGGAGTGAGACGAATTTTATATGATGAAGAGGAGAAGTAACCGTGGAACCAAAAAAAAAAAAAAAAAAACTAAAACAATTTAAGGAAAAAATAATTTTTTTGGAGGTGGTGGAGATGGTGGTGGATGAATTGGAGATGGTGGTGGCAAATAAAGGTTGAAGAAGACAAAAGAAAAAAATATATTAAAAAAAAGCTTAGGGCTTTTCTCTCTCTGAAAGGAGAGTGTATTACACGCCATATCAGCAATATGTGTTTAATTGCCCAATATAATTTGAGTTGAGGTGTCCAATAGGGACGCCTTTTAGTTCAAATGTAAAAAATGGACAAGTTTAAGGGGGTGGAGATGCATTCAGCCTAGATATAACTTAAACTCTACTATGTCTTTTGGTTAATTCAATAATCTGAACATTATCTTTGGCGAACTCAAAATTGTAAATACACAGCTTTTCCTGCTAAAGAAATTTAAAACTACAGTGAATTAAAGCAAATAATTCTTTAATATCTCCTGTTCTATTTCTATTTTGTTAATTTGGGTTGATCCTCTTCTTGGTTCTTTTCGTTTTTAAGGGACTGCAGGGGAACTCTGTCTCAAAGAAAATCGCATTCCTCATTGGAAAGAGAAGCTATGACCCCAGAGCTAAGCGGATCTAGAAACCAAGTCCAGATGTTATCCAGAGCAGATATCAAAGACGAAACAAAGCGATTGCTGGTACAGCACACAGAAATGGTAGTAGGCACAGGATTTCTGCAAAGAGGGCAAATGGAATTCATCTTTAGCCAAGGCTCAATGCATTTAGTATGAAATCCATGTCCACATATAGGAAGAAATCGCCGTGGCTCGCCTAAAGAAACGTCGCCAAGACAAATTACGCAGACCGTGTCCACGCATTTGTCTTCTTGTTTTCTTGCCTTGCTATATTTAGAGCTGCAAAAGGCAAACAAAAGCGACCACAATGACTTGATTGCACCTGCATATGTATTTAGTATGGACATCACAGGAAATGCTACAATCACTGCAATGGCTATCATCTCACTATTTGATGTGATTTTTTGTACTAGGCCTGCCATTTGCTCTCCTGATGTTAATCAAAATGGTGATGTCTCAATTCCCTCTTTCCCCTGCATGTTTATATATATAGTGCATGGTTTGGGATTTTTCTTTAGATGGTTTATTGAAGTAATTGACTGATAATTAAGCACCAACCTAGCTATAAGAAGAGAAAAGAAATTTCTTAAGGAACTGAATTGGCTCTTATTTAGTAGTAGTAATCAATTTTACAATTGACAGTCAAAAGAAAATGGTGGGTTTGAATCAATAGACGTAAAGGGCACGTGAACTTACCTACTAAGGTGGATAAGGTTTGGAAAAAGCGAAACAAAACATGGTTCATGTTCCAGCGGGCAGTCAGCACTCTGGTCAAAGACTCAAATAGCAGGAAAAGGAGGGGGAAAAAACACGAGACAAAATAGAGGTTGTGGAATGCCCTTTAACATTGATATGTTGCAAAAACTGTTGGGCAGTATGATTTGAATTTTATGAATTTCTACACTAACCTAAAGTTAATACAATATATATTTAATAATTTTTTTTATACAAATAATATAAAATAGGGATAAAAATTATTGAATTCACAAATTACATGTTAGCTCCGCCTTCGCTGCTGGTATTACTATTACTAAGTCCTATGTCAGTGACTCAGTGGCATACTTCACCGTTTGGGTCTTAGGACCTGTTTGGCCATTATGAAAAAATAAACTTGGGTTTTATTTGGCAAACACATGTTTGGTCATAGATTTTGCCTACATTTTGGCCAAATCTCAAATCCCAAAATCAGCTCAATAGTTGGTTGAGCTGATTTTGGGCCAAAATACCACTATTATATTTTTTTAAAATTACCTCAAACTTTTGTATTTTATAAAAGAGCTCACTATTTATTATTTTGTAACGATGTTGCTTCGTTTTCTCGGTCATCTGATGGTGTATCATGTAGTTCATTATAAAAATGATAATTTTGTATCAAATTTATTTATGTTCAGGACTATGGTTTGCGATTATATAATGAATGTTATTGATAATGGTACTGTTGGGTATTTGTGATAGTTTTTAGAGCTTGTGGGTATAAGTCATGTTTCATATTTTTTCAAACCAAACTTCACCCAAAATAGATGTCCAAACGCATTTTCATCTTCAAACCAAACTTCACCCAAATCAAATTTTTAGAATAAATTTGAGAATCTATGGCCAAACGCTAACTAAATTATCATCTTGTTGGTTTGTTTTCAACCTAAGGCTCTTGTAGGCCGGACGAACATCTTCTTAAGGTTATAGTATCATTTAATTAGTTTTTGGAAGTACAACAAATAATTAGGGGTCTTACAAATAAACTAATTTTCAAATTTGAATGGTTACACATTTGAAAGGTGATATGTTTGCAAAGTACAAAGAAAAAAAAGGAACTTATACTAACCAAAGGCTACTTAACAATAGGAAGATCATAACTAAATAATGAATTTAAGGTATACTGACTAAAAATATAAAGGTTTTCTCTCTCTAAATTATCGGTAAATTTTAACCTATGATAAAAATATCAATTAATATTTATCAAGAGATTATTTGTAATCACCTAATGTATAAAGTGATTGTGTTTTTTTTTCTTCATAGGTGCATAAAACTTAAACTCTTAATTCTTAAATAATATGATCAAATTAAGAAATTGATTTTTTCTTAAATAATATGATCAAATTAAGAAATTGATTTTTCGTCATAGTGTCAAGAATATTGTTCATACCATCGAGCTACCAAAATTTATTGAAGGAAAATAGCGTGACATCTCAAAAGTTATTGTTGGTACGTTGATATGATATAAGAGAATGCTCCCTCGTATTATTTTATTCTTGATATGCACTAAGTTTAGAAATAAAAACAAATATTTAAAATCAGTGATTTTATCCATTAACCTTAGAATCACATCAAGGGAGAAACATAAAAGTTTTAAAATTAATTATTTAAAATATTAAAATATATTAATTTATTTTTTTGCAAAGGCTGAAAAATGAAATAATATTATATAAAATGAAAATATATGGAGTTGTTATAAAATAAATACGGTAAAGTAAAGACAAGTATAGAGAGAAACTGATATATTATTCAAACTTTAAATTTATGTACATAATGAACTGAAATTTCTTCTATTTATAGAAGAAAGCAAGCCGATGTGTAAGTTGCTTCTGCAAGCTCATGTGTAAGCTGCTACTGTACCAGATATAGATAATCTTCTAGCGGGGGTAATATTTATTCATAACGGGGTACCGAAAGGATAAGCTCATTATACCAGATATAGATAATCTTCTACTAGGGGTAATGTTTATCCATAACGGGGTATCGAAAGGATAAGCTCATTATAACATATATGGATAATCTTCTACCGGGGGTAATGTTTATCCATAACGGGGTACCGAAAGGATAAGCTCATTATACCAGATATGGATAATCTTCTACCCCTCATTATATCGGATATGGATAATCTTCTACCGGGAGTAATGTTTATCCACAACGGGGTACCGAAAGGATAAGCTCATTATACCAGATATAGATAATCTTCTACTAGGGGTAATGTTTATCCATAACGGAGTACCGAAAGGATAAGCTCATTGTACCATATATAGATAATCTTCTACCGGGAGTAATGTTTATCCACAACGGGGTACCGAAAGGATAAGCTCATTGTACCATATATAGATAATCTTCTACCGGGTGTGATGTTTATCCATAATTGGGTACTGAAATGATAAGCATATTCAGGAGACTTATTTCCAATAAAGTACTAAATAGATAAACATATTTACAGCAGAGTCTCATATAGATAATCTTCTTCAGGAAGCTTATTTACAACATAGTACTAAATGAACATCCATAATATAATATATTTATAACACTCCCCATTGGATGTTCATTAAAAGATAATGTGCCTCATTAAAACCTTACTAGAAAAAAGCTCGTGGAAAAAATCCTAGTGAAGGAAAAAGAGTACACATATTTAGTAATATGCATAACTAGTTATCTAAAAAAAAATTTATAAGGAAAACCATGTGGAAAAAACCTTAGTAAGGGAAAAAGAGTATAGCGCGTATTTTACTCCCCCTAATAAAAACCTTATTTCAAATATTTGAGTACCCGCATTCTAATCTTGTATACCATCTTCTCAAAAGTTGAAGTTGGCAAAGATTTAGTGAATAAATCTGCCGGATTGTCACTTGAACAGATTTGTTGCACATCAATATCACCATTTATCTCCTTTTATAACTCCCCCATTTAATTGGGCTATGTATGCAGCATTGTCTTCGTATAAAATTGTGGATCTTTTATCACATTCCAAACCATATTTTCCTTGAATAAAATGAATCATTGATCCCGACCATATGCATTCCCTACTTGCTTTATGAATAGCTATTATCTCATCATGATTTGAAGAAGTAGCAATAACAGATTATTTTATACAGCGCCATGATATGACAGTACCTTCACATGTAAACATGTACCTGGTTTGAGATCGAGCTTTATGTGGATCAGATAAATAACCTGCATCTGCATAACCAACAAGATCTACACTACCTTTGTTAGAATAAAATAAACCCATATCAAGTGTTCCCTTTAAATATCGCAATATATACTTAATCCCGTTCCAATGTCTTAGTGTAGGGGAATAATTATATCTTGCTAGTAAATTAACATAAAATGCTATGTCAAGTCTTGTAGCAATAGCAAGATACATAAGTGCACCAATTGCACTAAGATAAGGTATTTCAGGATCAAGGAGTTCCTCATCCTCTTTTGGAGGTCGGAACAAATCCTTATTCACTTCAAGTGATCGAACAAATATTGGTGTACTCAACGGGTGCGCTTTGTCCATATAAAAGCGTTTTAAGACCCTTTATGTATAGGCAGATTGATGGATAAAGATCCCGTCTGCTAAATGTTCAATTTGGAGACCAAGACAAAGTTTTGTCTTTCTAAGATCTTTCTTCTCAAATTATTTCTTAAGATATTCATTTGCCTTTTGGAGCTCTTCTAGAGTTCCCGCAAGATTTATGTCATCAACATAAACAACAAGTCTAACAAATTCTGATGTCATTTTCTTTATAAAAATGCATGGACAAACAACATCATTTATGTAACCCTCTTTCAGCAAATATTCACTAAGGCGATTATACCACATACGCCCAGGTTGCTTTAAACCATACAAAGATCTTTGTAATCTGATTGAATACATTTCTCGAGATTTTGGATTTTCTTCAGGCATTTTAAATCCTTCTGGGATTTTCATATAGACTTAATCAAATGAGGCATATAGGTTATGACTTGCATTTAGATGGCATGACTTCTTTAGGTGTCTGGACTACAGGTTTGATCCTCACAATCTTTTACAATATTGTGAACTATATTGTATCAAATATATCGTCGACGATCATTTTGTATCGGTTCCTAAGCGACATAACTTGTTAAGATCTCATCACTTTCTTTATTTTCAGGTACATGAACTTCTTCTCGAGTTTCATGAAATGTTATACCGTGGGCTCTTCTAGAGCTCATTTCATCCTCATTATGATCATTTTGATCATTTGCTCCTATTATTTTTCAAGGATTGTTACCTTTGGAACCGATCGGTTTACTACGCTTCATGCGTGCAATAATCTTTATCCTTAAAGAACTTTAATTTTAATAGGAGCATTTGCAGCTGAAATATGATATTTGATTTTGGATCAGCAAATGCTTCTGGCATTTGACTTGAATTATATTCTAAGTGAGGATCATATTAATGATAATTCGATTCATATAGCATATTTTTCAGCTGTTTATTCCACCCCCCCAAATGTTAGAAAAACTAACATATGTCTCTAATTTTCTTTGGGAAACCTATCTTTGTGCATTGTGGTATAGAACTTAATCATATACCACACATCAAAAGTTATTAGATAGTAAAAAAAATTGGTTTCTGATCCTAAACCAATTGTGAGGGGAGGACTTATCATATATTGTTGGTCTAATGCATACAAGTGTTATTGTATGCAATTTAGAAAATCTTAGACCAATACATGAGGCCTTGTTCTCATAAGCAATAGTTTAGCCATTAATTGGAGGTATTCAATGCTAAACTAGCTTGGATATAAACCAGCATCATCAAAATGAACTATCTTGATTTCATAATCTTAAAATTATGCTCTTAATTGAGAAAAGCAATTTCAAATGCCAAACTGTAGGTTGACAATAAACACACATGTAACCATCTCATATATGCATCTATAAGTGGTTCACATGATAGGTGAATGGACCCATATTCACCTTTTATATATTCCATAATTCAGGGGTCTTAATCTCAACTTTAGCTGGTATAATCAATTTATTATGAGAATAAGCAACACAAGAGAATTCTTGAAGAATATTCTAGTTCTTCAGTATATGCTTATCTGAATTCTCAAATAGCTCATTTAAAAATGGCAAATAAAAATCTCAAGTTTATCATGGCATGTGCTATCTCTTAGTAAGCTTCTGGTTTACTATGGCATAAACTTTTGCATTAGTAAACTTCTGATTTACTGTGATTGCTTTTGCATTAGTAAACTTCTGGTTTACTGTGATACATGATATAGTACAAATTGAATAATAAGACGGGTAACTTCTCACATACATATTATTTTACCCCCTATGATTGTGGAAACATGAAGATTTTCAATCTTCCAATTATTTAGTCTCAGTATGATAAATATTCGTATTAGTAAACTTCTGGTTTATTACAACATATGTTTTGACCACATTCATATAATATGAATTACAAATTTGCATATAAGCTCTTCGGGAGCCTTCAATTTATTGTCCACAATCAAATATTATTCAGGCACTACTTGTGTCATGTGTCTTCTAGACAAAAAGTTACCTCTTCGGGAGTTGTTGATACATTTTGTACTATCAAATATTGCCCACACACTTATGGTATCATGAGAGAAAATTTCTTCATAAACAAAATAAATATGATAGTAAACATCATTATCAAAGCATAACTTTTATTTATGTACAATAATTATATAACCATACTATCTACTATAAACAATAAAAATTAAAATAATTACATTTTTACAGATTTATCACCGATCACATGACTTGTTTCTCCTTCCGGGAGTGCAAAGTAATCAACTACATCCAAATGCACGAAGTCTAAATTATCTTCAGAAATAAAATTTGCTTCAGCATTTTTCTCTGTCTTCTTCAGGGAGGCTTGATATAGCTCAACCAGTTGCTTTGGCGTACGACAGGTACGTGACAAGTGCCTTTTTCCTCCACATCTATAACATGCATTTTCTGCCTTTGCTGTTTGCACCGTTTCATGCTTTTGTTCCTTTCTTTTTCACTGCTGGGGATGAGGAGGGTTCTTTGGTACATTATTATTATCATGATTAGTGTTTTTTCTCCGATCACGGCCATGACCATGACTAGGCCCACATCCTCTTCCACGCTTAGCTTGGTGGAAGTTCATTCATTCACTTCAGGGAATGCACAAGAACCCGTAGGTCGGCTTTCATGATTTTTCATTAATAACTCATTATGTTGCTCGACTACAAGAAGATGTGAGATAAGTTCAGAATACTTTTTGAATCGCATCTCTCGATATTGCTGCTGCAGGAGCATATTCGAGGCATGAAAAGTGGTAAAAAAAAAATCCAACATATCATGATCAATAATATTATCACCACATAGTTTTAATTGGGAATTAATTCTGAACATAACAGAATTATACTCACTGATAGATTTAAAATCTTGTAGCCTTAGATGAGTCCAATCATAATGTGCATGTGGAAGAACGACCATCTTTAGGTGGTCATATCTATCTTTCAAATTATTCCACAGTATGACTGGATCTTTAATAGTGGGATATTCCATTTTCAAGCCTTCATCAGGGTGATGGCGTAGGAATATCATTGCTTTGGCACGGTCTTAGTTTGATGCTTGATTTTTGTCCTCGATGGTATCTGCTAGACCCATCGCATCAAGATGAATTTCAGCATCAAGCATCCAAGACATGTAGTTTTTGCCCGATATATCTAGGGCTACAAATTCAAGTTTAGAAATATTTGACATTATTTAGAAAAAGAAAGTTCGTACCTCTAATACTTTCAAAGTATTTGCTCGAGATGGCAGAGTCTCGTGCTGATAACGTGTTATAAAATAAAGACTGTAAAGTAAAGACAAGTATAGAGAGAAACTGATATATTATTCAAACTTCAAACTTATGTACATAATGAACTGGAATTTCCTCTATTTATAGAAGAAAGCAAGTTGTTGTGTAAGCTGCTTCAGCAAGCTCCTGTGTAAAATATTACTGTACCAGATATAGATAATCTTCTATCGGGGGTAATGTTTATCCATAACGGAGTACCGAAAAGATAAGCTCATTATACCAGATATAGCTAATCTTCTACCGGGGGTAATGTTTTATCCATAATGGGGTACCAAAAGGATAAGCTCATTATACTAGATAAAGATAATCTTCTACCGGGGGTAATGTTTATCCATAACGGGGTACGGAAAGGATAAGCTCATTATATCAGATATGGATAATCTTTTATAGTGGTAATATTTATTCATAATGGGGTACCGAAAAGATAAGATTATTATACCAAATATGGATAATCTTCTACCGGGGGTAATGTTTATCCATAACAGGTACCGAAATGATAAGCTCATTATACCAGATATGGATAATCTTCTATCAGGTACCGAAAGGATAAGCTCATTGTACCAGATATAAATAATCTTCTACCGAGTGTGATGTTTATCCATAACGGGGTACTGAAAGGATAAACTTCTTTAGGAGACTTATTTCCAATAGAGTACTAAATAGATAAACATATTTACGGTAGAGTCTCATATAGATAATCTTTTTCAGGAACCTTATTTATAACATAATACTAAATGAACATCCATAATATAATATATTTATAATAGGAGTAACAAATTAGATACAATAACGAGGGTAATTTACTTCTCATTGAGAAAAGTAGGAAGAATATGAGATTGTTGACAAATATTTCAACTTCACTCCGAATTTATGTGTCAAATTTAAAATCCTCGAAAATATCATAGATAATCTTCTATCAGGTACCAAAAGGATAAGTTCATTATAATAGATATAGATAATCTTCTATCGGGTGTGATATTTATTCATAACGGGGTGCTGAAAGGATAAACTTATTCAGGACACTTATTAGATAAATATATTTACGGCAGAGTCTCATATAGATAATCTTTTTCAGAAAGCTTATTTATAACATAGTACTAAATGAACATCCATAATATAATATATTTATAATAGTAATAACAAATTAGATACAATAATAAGGGTAGTTTACTTCTCATTGAGAAAAGTAGGAAGAAGATGAAATTGTTGACAGATATTTCAACTTCACTCGGAATTTATGTGTCAAATTTAAAATCCTCGAAAATATCATAGCTATATTATCCAGCGCTTGTGACCCTTTTCGGACAAACTGAAAGTTGTGTGGCTATCGCTGTGTGACCAAAACCCAAACCTCCCGCTTCGTTCCTCACTTCCCCTAATCAACAGTCCCTTTGCCTTCCTGCAACCGCCTTTGTGTTTTTTCCCAGCATTATCTTCTTCACTCCAAGAACTAACCCCAAAATATATAAAAAGAGTATTTCAGTTCAATCCCTGGCATGTTAACAACTAGTCGGTGTATGGAATCTGAAAATTGTATTGCATTGGGTTTCTCTTCTTAATTTGTGCGACTTGGACTTAGACTGGATGAGCTCCCCATGCCTTTATTAGGTTAACGCCTTTAGTTTTCATTCTCTGTTTTCTGTTCAAAGGGTCAATCTCATAACCTGTCGCCTATTTGAGATATATGTACTGAATTAACTATATTTTCTTAATTCTTTATTGTGCAGATATTGCTACAGCACAGCCTTGTTTTCAGAACAATGTCTGTTCAGTTAGTTCTAGAACCTTCTTTAGTACTAGGTTTGTACACAACAAGGAGTATAGGTTGTGGAATTCTTTCTGCATACCACAAAAAGCTCCAAATTCAAAAATTAAGCTATTTCGGGGTGGATTGATGATAAGGGCAGTAGCCACCCTCGAAAAAGGACCCACCAAAAACACACACAGCAATGAGGAACAAAACAATTTTGGTGGTGTGAGGATGGGCAAATATTCAGGAAGCTCGAATTCTGCTGTTGCCGAGCAACCAAGTGAGGATGATATGGAGTTGAATGACAGAGAGAAATTGAGGAGGATGAGGATATCTAAAGCTAATAAAGGGAACATACCTTGGAATAAAGGCAGGAAACACAGTCCAGGTACTTATAAGCATGCCCCAGTAGTTCTTTTGAGCTGTTTGTTGTGGATAAGGTTTTAATATTTTCAAGCATGTTTGAACCATTTGCAGAAACTTTACAACTGATTCGAGAGCGTACCAGACTTGCAATGCAGGATCCTAAGGTGATGTCATGTAAGCATAATTTTATGAATAAAGGAACAACAGATGAGGATCTGATTAAGAAGAGGAGACCCTTAAATAGCTCCAGAAACAGTAGAAGATATAGCACAATGACTTTTATAAATTTGTTTAACATTTATCGGCATGTGAAGTTATACCGTCTTATGGTCGTTTGGTGAAGGTGTAATGCTAAATGTGGGGAACCAAAGAAAAGATTATAGAACAGAAGTTGGAACTAAAACTAAGTTGGATGTGAGCAGGATGTACAGATTAACGTTTACGACTAGGGAAAAAGTTCGATCTTACTTCAGCTGACAGATGTGTTTTGTGGTCATTATGTTAGGCTCAAACCTGTTTAAGAGTGCACGGTGTGGGACTAGAGAATCAATACTCCTGAATCCTGATTACATTGTAGGCACATGCTGCCCGGGTATCTTGGAGACGTTTGTGATAATCGCATTTTCTATTTTTCATACTCTCAGTATTTAGTGACTTTCTCTGGATGTTACTAATCTCAGTAAACTTCATTATGCATTTCTGGGAAAATAACTTAAGAGTCTCGGATATTGTGTCATCTGAGCATATGTGTTCATCTGAATATGCATGGCTTAGTCCTGCCCAGCAAAGCTATATATATACCTTTAGGTGGCTTATCTGTATAGGGACATGTAAAAGTGATTTGCAAAGTCCACAACGAGGAGCAGCATAGGAGATTCCAGCAATGTGGGACTGATATGTGCCATTCCAAATCTATGTCGGATAATCTTTGTGTTCCTTTGTGTGTTTTTGTATGAGTGTTTTGAATATCCTTATTGTATTTTTTTCTCTTTGTGAATTTGTCAAGTTTGAATTCGGTTGTGAACTAACCATTTTATACTTGAAGAGCTCAATTCGCATTCAAAATGTTCTGTATCGAGGTAGAGTTCCTCTCTCCTAAATAGGAAAGATGTGGTTAGGTGATGATTCAAGAAAAATCTTAAACTTGTATATTAGACAACTTTCTACTCATGCACAACAGGTAGTCTGATCTTCACTAGCTATGTTGATGATCTTGCTACAACATTTTTGCCTAGGCAGGGTGTAACTTTTTCTTTCCCTTCATTTTGGCATCTGAAATAACCATTGTTTGATTTAGTGAACATCATAAGATATTGTTCATTTCTTTTCAGATTGTGCTAACGATGTAGTGAAATCTGAGATAACCAATTTTTAGTCAGCTACATTATCCATTTAACTCCAGACTTAAGTGTTTTTGTTTGTCAATATCACTAATAAGCTCTGATTTCACAGGTCAAAATGAAGTTAGTTAATCTGGGGCACGCTCAAAGGTGTGTTTTGCAAAGTATTTTCGAAATTTTTGTTTTCCCTCTTTTGATAGCATTGTGGAGTCCAATAATCAAGCTGTGGGCGAAAAATGACCAGCCCACGACAAAATTCAGTACAAGTATATGGAGTTTGTCTATTCTAATACTGAAATAGCATAGCAATGATGTAAAAAAAAATAATAGACAGTATTGGACAAACCGGTGCTTCCTGTTTCATGTAACTTGTGCTTCAATATATGAACCTCAAGCTTCAGTAAAGTCACTGTGCCTAATGAGTGTGAAACAGAGATGTTGAGAGGCATTGCCTTTTGTTGATATGCATGGAATGTGCAAGTTTTAATTTCTTTATTACTTAATTCTTGCTTAGGAATTCAGTTGAACCTAGTAACTTCATACTAATTCATATCCTTGTGAAAAAGAAAAAAAAAATCTTATCCCTAGTTAATAAAATTACCACTTTACCTAGAACCTTAAAGTAAATGAAGATTTGGTGTTTCAAAGTTCAAACTACTAAAGCAGATCATTTTTTCTTAATTGCAGTGAGGAAACAAGGATCAAAATTGGTGTTGCTGTAAGGATGGGGTGGGAGAGGCGCCGTGGGAAGTTGATGCTCCAGGAAACTTGCCACTATGAGTGGCAAAATTTAATTGCAGAAGCTTCTAGGAGAGGCCTTCAAGGTGAGGAAGAGTTGCAGTGGGACTCTTACGAGATATTGAACGAACAGCTTGAGCAGGAGTGGATAAAGAGTGTTGAAGAAAGAAAAAATATGCCCAGGCAGAAGGGTAACAAGAGAGCTCCCAAATCTGCCGAACAGAGGAGGAAGATTTCAGAGGCCATTGCAGCCAAATGGGCTGATCCCGTAAGTGCTTATTTTTGTTGGACTAGACTTCTTTGTGTTTGGGAATAACTCAATCTTCTATAGATCTGCTGACATTTTTGTCATATATGCCAAGTATGAAAGTCCATGATCCGAGTTTACTTATAAAAGTACTGCTTCAGCTTGAAATTGACGTGCTATAATCATATCTGTCTTCCTCACCCCCCCCCCCNCCTTTTTTTTTTGTTATTTTAACTTAGGTCATAGTATAGTTTCATGGCTGTCAATTTGAACTTCCTCACATTTTTCCATACCCGAATTTTAACCAAATCTACCTTCTTCCAACTAGGAATACCGTACTCGGGTCCGTTCTGCTCTGAATAAATATCATGGCATAGCTGATGGGGTTGAAAGAAAACCAAGTCGAAGGCCTGTTAGTGATGGACAGACCAGAAAAAGAAGCCCTCCGAAAAAGAAAGCTGATGAAGTGGATAATTTAGTAAAGCTGGAGCCCAAGAGCCAAGTTCAACGTGTTCGATTGAGGAGAAAACACACACCAATGTATAAGGATCCTTTGGCTAGTTCCAAGTTAGAAATGTTAAAGAATATAAGGGCACAGAGAGCAGCTATTGACCAGAAGAAGATTGAAGCCATTTCGAGAGCAAAGTAAGTTATAAAATCTTTGCTCTTAAATGACTTATCAATTTGACTCCTTTAGTCTTATTTGCTTCTTTACTCTGCCTGGTTCCATATGAGGTCTGTTCGTCACCTTGTTTTCATGAACCTTAGCAAACCTGATAGAATTGCTTGCTAAATTGTGAATGTATATCCTGTCTGAATGAAGAAGTGTCTATTTTAATGCATAAGACTAATCTGACCCCAAAAATTCATTGACTAGAGTTATTAGTACATGATTAATAGGAGTTGGTCCATATGTTGACAGGAATCTTTATTTAGTACAATGTTCCATCTACTTTAATTAGATCTGCAAATGATACTCCTGTTTCCCTTTAGGAAGTTTGAGTTTCTTGTCCTGTTTATTTCTTACGAGTAATGTCATTATGCTTTGGTCTCTGTATTCAGTACAGGACGTGAGGGAAGAATAATTTCCTTCGTCCCAGCTCCTATCTCCCCTCTGGCCCTGAAAATGAAAATAGCTTACTGAGAGAAAAGTGCAACTGTTGGATATGATTGTAGTGTATACTCATGTAGGTTAAATGAGAGATTAACGATAAAAACTTTTGCTAGACTTGTGGTAAAATGAACAATTTATTCGCGGGGTTGGGGGGTTGTGAAGGGAGAGAAATGGCAAAGATGCTTTTTATCACTCTCAGTTGAAGTCCACGAAAGGTGTTCGAATAAATATTTTTTGACTGGTGACCCTTGTATTCATAAAAAATAATGAACAAACATGTCAAATTTGTTTCTGATCAGGGAATGCTAAAATGGAAATTGCCGCCTCTTCCAACTTTTTTCAATGTCGTTAACCAAATTAACGAGGAAATGTGGTTAGTGCAAACAACTTTATAACAAAGTGAATGATTTAAATGTTGTTACATCTGCTAGATGGATAGTTAGTATACTGTAAGAGCGAAGATGTCACTTGTCAGACATTACTTTTTTGGTCGGAGGTGAAATGTAATAGTGGAGGAAACCATAAGTTAAATGTCAACACGTCAAAACGGAGGTCTAAATTATTAGAACAATTTTGATCTCCACCCACTGCTATCTTTGGTATCAATCTGCTCGGTAGTACTTATAAGTTCTTGGTGTGTTGACAACGTTGCAGAGAATTGATAGCTGAGGCTGAGAAGGCTGCAGAGGCCCTGGAAATAGCTGCCCAGAAGAGCCCTGTTGCTCATGCATCGCTCATTGAAACACGGAAGCTCATTTCTGAAGCAATCCAGTCCATTGAATCTATAGAGAAAGAGGTGGCTTTTACAGATGGAAATCTTTCACCACCTTCAACTGAGCTGATAAGCCACACTGCAGCTGAGATTGGAGCTCTAGATGATGCTGGTGAAAGAATAAATGGTTGGCATGCTGTGATGCCTCTGGAAAGTGGTATCAATGATTTAGAAAATGGACAACATGCCTTGCAAGGTTTACTGAATGGTAAAAGCAGTGCTCTCTTGTCAAGCTCGGGTGAATATGACTCACTGGGTGACAGGGACGAAGTCTATCAATTGATTTCCAGTGTGATTTCTCCCGAAAAAGGAGCCAATATCACACAGCCCTCCACCTCCACTCAGAAACTTGACGGAGATGAAGCTAATGAAAGCCCAGGAGATGAAAAGAAACCACTTCCAAACGGATTGATATCTGAGTCAAAGATTGAGGAGGCGCCAAGTCTGCCCCCGACAACCACCACCAAGAAATGGGTACGTGGGAAGCTGGTTGAAGTAGGTGAAGGATCTTAGATTAGAAGAAGGAAAATATGGAGTATCTGATTTACACACTTGGATTGCATCTCATGGGTGCAATATAGAGTAATAATTTATGGTTACAACAAATTTTTGACGAACACTTTTCTCTGCAAATCGCAGTCGAAGCTTCGCGCTGCTTGATAGTTGCAATAGGCTTTTCGTTCTCTAGTTTCATGCTTAGATACATATTCTCTTGTAATATAAATATCTTTTCCATGACCATTTCTGTAAAGTTTCAGCATAGAACTGGCCGCATTGTAATTTTAATTTTTATTCCAATTTTGGTGACATTTGATTCGTTTCTATAAATCTTAAAGCAAAACATGAGCAACTTAGATAACATGACCGACAAATAGATATAGATAGATGTTTTGACTATTACATCCGAATGCAGCGAGTACAAAGTGATGGACATGTAACAGCTGCTAGCATCTGGATTTTGGGGGTTAAGGCTTTATGGGTTGCTCGAGTTGGAAATAACATTCCAGTTCTTGAGTTGAGAGTCGATAGCATTCTCCAATTCTCGTCTCTTCTTTTCTTTCTCTTCCCTGGCTGGATTGATCTCCGCCTCAACTTGTTCCTTCTGCAAAATAACATTCTGAATTACTACATGCTTCTCTAATTAAGCTTGCATTTTAGGCCTTAAAATTTCATTTGCAGCAATTGAGATTAGAAGAAAAATGCGGGCACTTACGTCGACAACGTCAGGGATAGGAAGCTTGGTGCCGTGGACGGCGGAGCGGTTCGCTGCTTTACCGACGAGCCGCAGTGTATTATGACGGAAAACGATTCCAGTAGTCCGCCACGTGTGTGGTACTTTCATCACTCCGTTCATTTCTTCTATTAACCCAACTTATTATTCTTCAGAGTAGCTCAACCTGTGAAATCAACGGCGATCTCAAATCACTTTTTTGCGCTTTGCATATGATCTGTAGCTATGTTCTTTTTAGTCAGAGCAAGTGAGAACAGGGAGAGTGTTCTGGACACTGACATTATGGTTATGCAGCCACGTGGCGTCTTCTTCTTATGTCTCGCTCTTTCTCGAGCTGTCGGTCCAGATGTCTCTAGCTGATTCTCACACGGTGGACACATTTGAAGAAGTCACAAGTTTAGTCGTAGTAATGGTTCCAATTAGACCTTATTTATTCCCCCTACTTAATAGTACTAAGTACCATCTTTTTTCTTTTACGTCATTTTTATCGATCATTATTTATTATTTATTTTTTCTAGTCGATATACAGAGATATATTATACATCAGCCGAGATTGGATGGACATCTATTCTAATTCTTCATTTAAATTAACGTCCTTCGAAATTAATTGTATTCTCTAACTTAAAAATAATATATATATATATATATATATATATGCATTTAGTGGACTGTGATCACATATATATTTTCGTAATCACACATATATATATATATATACGAAAATATATACATTTAGTGGCTGTGGCCTTTTTCACTAGTTGGTCCGACCATGTTATCTTTTGGAGTGTGACCCTTCAAATAGCCCAGGCCCAACAATTGAATCTGGTTATGAAAAAAGAACTGGACTTAACCATTATACCAACCATGTAGCTATGCGCATCCCAAGACTTTTGAGGGGCCAGGCAGATTGATGGCGGGTCATTTTCTTCTACCGACAAACGATGATTTACTATTACTATGATTAATTTGGTAGTACTTCCTTCGGCCACACCCTTCCCTCCTAGAAATGCTTTACAAATCACATGTAGCAGTTGTTAACTTTACGGGACCACGCACCAAACAGATCTTATCAGTGTTCTTAGCTCACTGTTAACAAAAACACGCACTCCCCTCTGTTTACAGTGACAGCGTAGAGTATAAGAAATAATCCACACTAGTCATCAAAATTACCAAATGCGTATTCGAAATCCGTAACAACATGATGAGGGACAGAGAATCCTCTGACGAAGAAGATGATCGAGAGAACTTGATCCAGCAAAACGAACGTGTAAATGACCATCCCAAATCTCCACTTCGCTCCACATTCCAAATCGACGATGTTAAGGACCGATTTGCCTTTAATCGTCGCTTTAATTTTACCTTCAGTAAGAGGTATTTCTTAGCAATTATTCTCCCAGTCTTAGTACTCATTCTTTATTTCACTACCGATATCAAAAACCTCTTCCAAACAACCGTTACTAACATCAAGTATGATGGTTCCATCAATTCCATGCGCGAGTCCGAATTGCGGGCTCTTTATTTGCTTAGACAACAGCAATTAGGGCTTTTTAAGCTGTGGAACCACACATTAGTTAATGATAGTTCTATTTCAAAGTCTTCTGCTGTTGAAGATTTCAAATCCGACTTGCTGAGTCAGATTTCACTAAATAAACAAATTCAACAGGCTCTTTTGTCCTCTCATCAATTAGGTAACTTGTTAATTACACCGGATAATTCTACAGATCCTAGCCTCGGTGGTTTAGGCAGGTGTAGGAAGGTGGATCACAACTTGTCACAGAGGAAAAATGTTGAGTGGAAACCGAGATCCGATAAGTACTTGTTTGCAATTTGTGTGTCCGGTCAAATGTCAAACCATTTGATTTGTTTGGAAAAGCATATGTTCTTCGCGGCTCTGCTCAACCGCATTTTGGTTATTCCGAGCTCAAAGGTTGACTATGAATTTAATCGAGTGTTAGATGTTGATCATATAAATAAATGCTTGGGGAGAGAAGTAGTTGTAACCTACGAGGAATTTGCAGAGAGGCGAAAGAGCCATGTGCACATAGATAAGTTCATTTGTTATTTCTCTCAGCCACAACCTTGTTTTTTGGACGATGAACGAGTTAAGAAGTTAAAGTCGTTAGGAGTTTCTATGAATAAGCTCGAAGTTGCTTGGAGTGAAGATGTTAAGAAGCCAAAGAAAAGGACTGTCCAAGATATAGAGGCAAAGTTTTCTACGGATGATGATGTTATTGCAATTGGTGATGTGTTCTTTGCTGATGTGGAGAAGGACTGGGTGATGCAGCCTGGTGGCCCCATTTCCCACAAATGCAAGACTCTCATTGAGCCAAGTCGTCTTATTATGCTTACAGCCCAGCGTTTCGTCCAAACATTCTTGGGAGATAATTTTGTCGCTCTACATTTCCGCAGACATGGTTTTCTGAAGTTCTGGTATGTTTTTGTTTGATGCTGCATCTAATGTTTAATATATTTTTCTTTTGCCTCTGGCATCTGCTGTATCTAATTTGTGTGTTTTTCTTCTTCTTAGCAATGCCAAGAAGCCAAGTTGCTTCTATCCCGTTCCTCAAGCTGCAGATTGTATCAATCGTGTGATTGAGAGGGCCAGTTCTCCAGTAATATATCTTTCCACAGATGCTGCAGATAGTGAAACTGGTTTACTTCAGTCACTTGTTGTATTCAATGGGAAGACTGTACCCCTTGTTAAAAGGCCTGCTCGAAACTCAGCTGAAAAATGGGATGCTTTATTGTACAGACATGGCCTTGAGGGAGATTCTCAGGTGAGTTGAAGTTTAAACCTTAGAGATGCATTTGCCCATATTCATGTGTAGAATATTAAGACCTGGTAGTTTGTCTATCACTACCATATTGGTCACTTCGGTACTGGAACTGGTAGGCACTATCATCCTGGACCCAGCCTCTGGTTTCTAATCATGGTCTATGGAATAGCAAATCTTGAATTCTTTGTATCTTGGTCTGTAGTGGAAGTAAAATTTGAATTTCAATTCTATTTGGGGAAAGGTAGACTGGTATAGTAGATCTGGTCTAGTTTTATCTTGGATAATTTTGATCATCACCCCATTTCACTTGCACTGTATTCAAGATTAACTACTCTAACATTGAGTTGATTCCAGCTGCAATTTAGTCTTAGCTAATAAGAATCAACTGAAAATAAGTGCAACAAAGTCATGTGTATCCAAATTAAATTTTTTGGAATAGACCTAATGTGATCTAGTTCTGTAGATTCCTTGACAAATCCATTTGTTAATGTGCACATGGCTCAGTACTGGAAAATGGGTTGTATTACATAATATCGTTATGAAATTCTGTGTCTTATGAAATTAGGAAATTCTTGGATTGAATTTCGGCAAGGACAATCGAAACATAAGGCATAAGAAACATTTTTAGTTTGTATTTACGTCCTATAGGTCCTCTAGACTGAGAGATCTAATATGTGATTGAAGGGTAGTAAAGTAGCCTGGTTGGTAGCCAGAGTGATGGCTGTTAGAATTGTGTTACTGGGTTGTGGCTATTGTGGCTTATAAGGAAAGGAAGAGGTGGCCTTGTTATGCATTTATAGGTGTTCATAGTGTTTGAGGATTGGGAGGGTGGTGGGGGTGTTTGAGTCAGGAGGGGAAGGAGGTTATGCAAAGCGGAGAAAGTTTGAGCCACTTTTCAGATGGATAACGTGTGTTGTAAAAGTCTTTTTGTGGTAAGCAGTTACTATTTGGTTCTTGGTTTGTTATAGATGTCCTTTAATTCTGCATTGGCTTAGGTCGGATTTTGAAATTCTATTCCATTTAGAGCGAGTGTGTTAAAATGCAATAAAAGGCATTGTTCATTGTTAAAAGAAAGTTCTTTTCCCCTCTTTTTTGAAGATGAACAGAATTTAAGGATGACAAAATAGGAAACTAGGATGCTTTTTGTCGGTCTCTCATGAAGCATTACATAAACAGGTAAAGTTATTTTTTGACTCAGATGTGTATTTTTGCCCTTACCTGAAATCTTTTTACTGGACCAAATGTGTGTAAAAAGGCTCGATGGTACCTCCAATTCTGGATTATTGGTAAAAAATACTATCTTCTCAAATCTGTGGATCCTACCGGAATTCTTATGTTCTATAGAAAATCATATATCCATACTGTCTCATGTTTCACATTTTAGATTGTACAGTTTTCACCATCGAGCAGTATGTAGGATCTTAGAGAACTTACTGATAGAAAAGCAAGGGTCGTGTAATGTATGCACAATCATTCTCTCGATAGCTCATGGGTTGAAGAAGCAGGGCAGTCTAATGTATGCATCTAGCTCATGTTATTATCACTCACATGGCACAGGCAGTGAGCATAACTCTTTCGTGAAGTCTGTGTTGCTTTCTCCTTCAGTTTTTCGTGCATTCTCTTTTTGAATTTTGTGTTTTTTTTTTCTCTTGGTCTTGCATACTCAGTTGTTGTCTGTTTATTTCCTTCATCAAGGTGGATGCTATGCTGGACAAGACAATTTGTGCTATGTCTAGTGTGTTCATTGGATCATCAGGGTCTACTTTTACCGATGATATTTTGCGGCTTCGGAAGGATTGGGGATCTGCATCGCTTTGTGATGAGTATCTATGTCAGGGTGAACTGCCAAATTTCATCGCCGATGATGAGTGAAACAGATAATGATTGATCATATTTCTTTTAGTACTCCGCAAGCACATTCTGCTACTGAAGCTGGTAGGAGCAAGAGACTTTGCTAAACAAGTTACTATGTCTGAAGCAATTGCTCTAATTATAGACAAATCAAAGATTGCGATGGTGTCAGACTGATATCTGTTGTTCTAATGTTTGTTCCATACTTCTTTTCTCGATTCTTTGGCACAGTTGGCCTATTGGGCCGATTCTTTTGGTCTGTATCCTATTGTATTATATTTGCTTAGCAGAGAGACTTGTCTTGTTCTGTGTACCTGTTTTGTCTCTTGCCACTAGTTTTAGCTTGTAGGCTTGCAAATACACATCTCAATAGTTGAGTATTTTCTGACTTCACTTTCTGTTCTGGTAGAACATAATCTTTCCCTTTTCTCTAGTTCGTTTTTCTTTTTTGGCTCTTTACGATTTTCTGTTTTACATACTGAGGAAAATCGTAAGTGCGTATATTCAGCTTAAGATAAAATGGACCGTTCAAATATTGATAATGGTTAAAACAAGCGGCTATGTTTGCAAATTTCATGCATCAACTCTTCATACATTATTTCATCCCTAATTAACAATTACGTCTATTTAAAGGGGATGCGTTACCTAACAAGATTTTTTCTATACCCACCTTATACATCAACTCGAAGGTGGACCTTGGTTCAACTTCTGCCCACCAAAATTTACTCTCCAGTATGTCATGCACTTGTAATTAAAATGAAAATATACTAGAAAATATTGAAATCTCTTATTTTATAATGAATAAATTTAAGCGATCATGAATAATACATGAGCTATTATGAGCGATCTCCGCATAATACATAGGCGATATGTGATTTTATTATATCTCTCATTTTATAAAATAAAAATAAAAAAACATTTAGGAGATCCACCGTATCAAATTTCAGAAAATCAAACCCTCATGTTCTTGTTTTTATCCATCGAAACAAAAAAAAAATCAACTAATCAAATGCTCTCACCCAATAAAGCAGCCATGAATCAATGTTAAGTTATATACAGTCAAATTTGGAAGGAATTTTGCTTGACCCAATTGTTGCAAGGTGCACCTAATTACTGCAAACACCAAAAGATATGTTGGCGAAAAGAATTACGGCAATCAAGCAGTTACACAACCATCGAACTCAAGAAATCAAAGATCAGTGTAATAATATTTTGAAAAATCTGCTCAAAGTTGGCAGCAAGTAACAACGCTGAAGAAGAGCAAACAACGATAGGTGATGCAAAGTAAAATTTGATTTTTGCAAAGTTACCCTTCTTTTCATCTTAATTTTTAAAAAAATCACATATGGAGATTCATAAGCTTGTAGTCATAAACTTCTATTACTCTTTGTGGGAGGCCATTTAACCAATTCTAAGTGCTATTAACTAACTACTACTTCAGAAGAATTGAATAAAAGTGCATCACTTATCAAATGCGTATATGTACGATAAGTTATCAACACAAAACCATTTAATGCCCTTAACTGTTATAAATATATTATATTGTGGATGTTCATTTAGTACTTTGTTATAAATAAACTTCCTTAAGAAGCATTACCATATTGGACTCTACCGTGAATATGTTTAGTACTCTATTGGAAATATCGACACTCCGTTGTGAATAAATATTACTCTTGTAGAAGACTATCTATAGCTGGTACAATAACAACTTACGAGAAGCTTACGCAACAACTTGCAGTAGGAGCAACTTACAAGCAGCTTACACAATAGCTTGCGGTAGCAGCTTACACAACTTCTTTTCTTCTATAAATAGAAGAGATTTCAGCTCATTATATACATTAGTTTGAAGTTGAATAATATATCACACACTCTCTATACTTGTCATTGATTTATTTACTTTACAGTTTTTATAACATATAACAAATTACCGTAACAATTTTTTTCTTTTCTTTTCAATTAGTAGTAGTTTTTAGTTGAAACCTTTAATTGTCGGACTGGGCTTAAAACATGACTCGGGTCTTATAGGCCGTAATGGGTCGTCAAAGTAAACCGCCCCGTTTTATATGAAGGACTATTCTTATTCGCAATTTTCTGATACTTCTTTTATTCTCTGCTTGTTTCTCAAGAAAACAAAGAAACTTTTGCTTCTGAACCAGAAGATGGCACCCGCAGCAGATATCGAGGATGAGATCAAGGACGAGAAGAACCCTCCGCCTCTTGATGAAGATGATATTGCTCTTCTCAAGACTTATGTACGGACTATTCTTCCTCTATATATAAAGCCTATTTTTATGTATCTTGAAATGTACTATCTTTTTTTAGTCATAATTATTGTCAGTCTGTTGTTACTGATTTGGAACCTCTAGAGAACTTGGAGATATATTAATACAATCATGTTTCTGAATTTAGGATTGGGCTTGTATATGAAGCTTCTGAAGGGCTTGGACCCCTTCACCTCTGAAAAGCTATTGAGCATCAGCAGAATATCTGTAGCTAGAAAGCGATTTTTTGGTCCTTGTTTGATGTTTTCAGATTTATAACAGTTCTGAGCCATTGTATTACTTCCTTCGTTCCATCAATTGTAGCTAATGTGGCACTTATTCTGCTTGTTTCTGGGAGCTGGGACAGGAAGGAAAGTGGAAAGTTTATGTATCTGTGATCTGTGTTAGCGGTCTTTTGTTGAGTGCAAATAAGTTTCGTTTTGACAGGAAGCTGGGGGTGAACTGTGGCGGATCTAAGTAGGGTCAAGGGGTACTGAACCCCCTTTGTCTAGAAATTACACTGTGCAAATGGGGTAAAAATGATTTTTTTTGGTTATCTGTGAGCCGTTGCATCCCCTTGACATGAAGAAAATTTCAAGTATAACATTTAAGGGGGTTCAAAAGTTGTTTTAGATCATATGTTTTAAATCCCAACTGCAACATCCTAGAATTTTTTCGAATCCCCTTGTATAAATTTTTGGTTATCCAGGATGACTGCCCATGCACCTCTTTTCAATGAATTTAACTTCTCAGAAATAATAGAGGTATCAGTCGCAACCGGTGGCAGTTAACTAAGTTGCCTTGGGTGAAATGATGCTTGTTAGAACTAGGAGGAACATTTTGACTGTCTCCGTCTTAATTTGTGATTACGGGTCATGTATGAATGCATACATTTTGGGACTTCGTTTTCCATTAGAGGATGTATTCTTGGTATAAGTAGAAAAGAGCTGGCAGTGGTGTATGATACACATATATTCGTAAAAGCTAGCCTATGTCCCTTATATGTTGGGGCTATCTTTGATTCTATGAATACTCCATTACCTAAACTAAATTATCTTACATCTTGGAGGGTTATTTACACGAGGATATGGCGTAATCAGGTGATAGGGTTATACAGTTCTTGCGGTAAAATGTCATTCGTTTGGATAGACATGTGCATGAAAGCTATTCATGTAATAAGTGTGTGATCTCATTTCTATATATATTTGTGTTATGCCAGAGTTGACTAATTTTTTTCCCATTCCAATTATAGTTTGGTGCCTTTTCTCTATAGGTTCACCTTTGATCTTGTAACAACAGTCTCACTACAATATTATATACACTCCATAAGAGAGTGGCACCTATCGNTAGAGGGTCTTCCCTAAGTGCTATAACGAAAGACTAGCTGAGGAAATAAGGAAGAAGGCTTCAACATAAGCATAATGACCTAAAGAAGAAATGATCTTGTAACAACAGTCTCACTACAATATTATATACACTCCATAAGAGAGTGGCACCTATCGTGGCTAATGAACCGGAAGTAAAAATCAAAAGTAATATTTGAGATCATATGAGTTGCATGAAATTCCAATAGGTGTGGGCACTAGGTTAAGCCAAGTATTCATGCAATAAGTGGTTGAACGACCAGGAGAAGTAATTGCGCACTTTTAAAGAAAACTGAGAAGGCACGAAAGGAATTATTAAATCAATGACCCAGAGTTAGTTATGTTATGACCACACTTAACATTTCAGAGTATTATCCATGCAGCATATATGTTGACATTCCTACAACTATAGGAGACGCCGATATAAAGTTAAAAGAAAGAATTGAGTCCACCTCACAGACAAAGGCTTGAATTGTTAGAATCCCCTTTATTCATTTAAAAAAAATACAATAGTTAGTTTCTGTTCATTTTATTAAGATCGTATCTTTTATTAAATTATTAAAATGATTTTTGTAGGGTTTGGGGCCTTATTCTACAAGCATAAAGAAGGCTGAGAAGGAAATCAAGGAAATGGCAAAAAAGATAAATGATTTATGTGGTATGTATGTCCTACTTTTGTTCTTTGTTGTTGAAATAATGGTACCTCTAATTGCATAATACTGCTCATTTGCCTCGAATTTGGTCTTCATTGTTTGGGGGCTAGCAAGAAGGAATAGGGAAAAAAGAGAACTTTTCTTATCCTTTGTTTTTGGGATTTTATTTGATTCTGTTAAAATGTGTGATGGGTTCTCCTACTTTTTCTTTTGCACATTTCCTATAAATGTATGGTGAATTCTAATTTAGAATATGTGCAGGTATTAAGGAATCTGACACTGGGCTAGCTGCACCAAGTCAATGGGATCTAGTTTCTGATAAACAGATGATGCAGGAGGAGCAACCTCTTCAGGTTTGTTCTCTGGGAAGGAAAAATGCATAATTTTTGTTAGTCAGATACGCTGAAGCTGTAACTATTCTTTGGAGCAGGTGGCGAGGTGTACAAAGATAATTAGCCCCAACACTGAAGATGCAAAATATGTTATAAATGTCAAGCAAATTGCGAAGGTCTGTTATCTTGTTTTTTAAATATTGTATTGGCTGTATTACCTTCATTTCTAACCGTAATTCAATTTGTGTTGGTGTTTGGAGACAGTTTGTCTAAGAAGCTCTTTGCAAACTGATCGTGAGATATAGAACTGTGCTTAAGCTGTAGTAAGCAGCATATTTTAGTTAGCAGCAAGGCTTATATAAGAAGTTTGATGCTTCATGATTGGATAACTCAGTCATCTTCCTATTCGTCTAAGAAACTGCACTGAATTTATTAACAGGATATTTCCCCTTGTTTTTGTCTTTAGCCTGAAGGCTTTGTGCTCTGTAGTTTCCTTTATTTTTTTGAGTATGTGATGTATTGCCATGAGAGAAGTGTTGCAGTACTGCTAGTTGGATCTATTTTTGCAATGAATCGTAATTACCTCGTTTGACTGTGCTTATTTCGTAACTGCAGTTTGTTGTTGGATTGGGTGATAAAGTTTCACCAACTGATATAGAAGAAGGCATGCGAGTCGGGTATTTCTTCTTCTTCTTTTGTTTAGATGTTCTTTAGCTCTTAGGTGGAACAAAGAACTTTAGGGGGAATATCTGTTTCTGTGTAACAATATTAAACTCGAGTCTTCTGCTCCTTTAAAAGTTAATTGACTCTTAGCTTGGCCATTTTGTTAATTTTGCAGTGTTGATCGGAATAAATATCAAATTCAGATTCCGTTGCCCCCCAAAATTGATCCTAGTGTCACAATGATGACTGTCGAGGAAAAACCTGATGTGACATATAATGATGTTGGAGGATGCAAGGAGCAAATTGAAAAGATGCGAGAGGTGATGATGATTGTACATTCTTCTGTTGTATTTCAGAGTGGTGTTCCTTTTCTTTTCCCTTTTTCCTCGTTGGTTGACGTTTGACAAAATGGTTTGTGTTCATTTGCTTGCTTAAATTAACAACAGGTTGTTGAGCTTCCCATGCTTCACCCTGAAAAATTTGTCAAACTTGGAATTGATCCCCCTAAGGGTGTTCTCTGCTATGGTCCTCCTGGTACTGGGAAGACACTGCTTGCCAGAGCAGTTGCCAATCGTACTGATGCATGCTTCATTCGCGTCATTGGTAGTGAGCTTGTTCAGAAATATGTTGGTGAGGGGGCTAGAATGGTTCGTGAATTGTTCCAGGTTAGATGCACTCTCATTATATTATTTTTTCGATAAATGGGGAATTCCTTGTTGAGTTAGCTGGACCAATCCAATTGGCCCACTGTGCAAAACTTGGGAGAGTAATGGCCTGCCACTCTGCCTTGTTCCCACTTAAATACCAAAAGTCGTGTCTCTGACAGCGTTCAAACTCGTGACATACACCCAATCCACACGACTTGGGCTACGTCTTCACCATTGAACCAAATCCTTCGGGCAAGATATACTTTTATTGTCGAACTCTTTTAAGCAATGTGTAATGTAGCATTGATTCTTGACTAGTGCTTTGATATGATAGATGGCACGCTCCAAGAAGGCCTGCATTGTGTTTTTCGATGAAGTAGATGCCATTGGAGGTGCACGATTTGATGATGGTGTGGGGGGAGACAATGAGGTTCAACGAACCATGCTCGAAATTGTGAACCAGCTTGATGGTTTTGATGCTCGAGGGAATATTAAAGTTCTCATGGCAACCAATAGGTAAGTTTGCCTATATGTTGCAATTGTATTTTCCAGTACATACATCTGCTTTTTCTCGTTGGTTTGTTTATGTTATTTCAAGTTTTGGTGATTAAATATTGCAGCTATTGGTCCAATAAGTGTTGCACAGAGACGTATGAATTGCTTTCCTCTGCATGTTTTTAAGTTGACTTCCTATATGTTTGCTACTGAAAAGGCACATCTGGCTGGAACATCTGAAGTCCCTTGTGGCCCTCCTGATGTATTTTTTTCATTGACTCTATGTTGTTCCTTCTCTTGTGCTCTATTGGTTGTCGGAATTATTTCATCTTTTAATATGATGATCTCTATGTTTCACAGCTTGCTATCATTGTGCTCAAGCTCTAACCCCGTCCTGTTGTTTGCAGACCTGATACACTTGATCCAGCTTTATTACGTCCTGGACGATTGGATCGCAAAGTTGAATTTGGTCTGCCTGATCTGGAGAGTAGGACACAGATATTTAAGATTCATACACGCACAATGAACTGTGAGCGGGATATTCGGTTTGAACTGTTGGCCCGTCTCTGTCCTAACTCTACAGGTAATGTCTCATAAATATGAGTAGTATGTTAGACTTCTTGTTTATACAATAATACAGCTGACATTTTGATTATGGGCCTTAACGTGTCTCTGATTGTAATGTCTGCCTCTCTTATTTTGCTAGCATAAAGACTATTCTATTAGAACGGATGTTTGTGTTATATCATACTATTGTCGTACTAGCTTATTCAAGCCAACTTTCTATTTTAGGTTTTGTCGGAAAATTTACAGGATTAACCATTAGAAGTTAAAAGAAATCAAATTCTCCTAATAATATACTTAAACCAGGTTGGATATTTGTTCCCTTTTCTCCCAAAGGTTGGATATTTTCTTTATTAGACCTAGTTATTAACTAGTATATTAATGTTCTTTTTTACCTCCACTACTATGATGTGTAATGAACTTCAAATTTTCTTGAACTCTTCAATATAATTTTTTGGAAGACACTCTTATTCTTCCTCATGTTTCTTTAATGAGCATCATAATACACGTGTGCAATGTTCATTGCCATTTTTCCCAGTATCATTTGGTCCTATAACTTTTAATATTCTCAATCCTAGTCTTCTGTCATTCTGTGACATGGCTGCCGTCTTTCTTGATAACTGATTCTGATATCTCTATTTGTTCTATGGCAATTAACTATTGTTATTCACAAATCAGATGTTCTCATTACTTTATTGTGAGTTTGAAGGGCTTTAATGTTGTGGGAGAACTTAGATTAATTGCCATGTAGGCACAATGTGGGATGCGTCATATCATCAGCCATCACATTGCGAGTAACATAGATCTCTGTGAGCTACTGATGCACTACTTAGTTGAGGTTGCAGCATCAAAGGGGAAATGTGCGGTAGGCAGTGATTTATTGGTTGAATATAGTGTATTTGAAGCATAAGGGTAACTTTGTCAGGCAAAAAACATCATTACTAACTTCATGGCTCTCTAATAATGCAAGGAATATGACACAATGACAAATGGAGGTCTGGATATCAATTACATTATTAGTGGAATTTCAAAAACAAGAGGGATTACTAACTTGTGGTATTACACTGGGTTTTTTTTTTTTTTTGGTTGTAAGAGGGATTGTTGATAAGTTAGAGAAGAGGGGTTTACTTTAGTTATCACATTGGATAAAGTCTCTTATCAGTAAGCAGGTATACATGTATAGGCAGACGGAGATACACCGTAATATTCTATGGTTCTTTTGTTCCAGGAGCTGACATTAGAAGCGTGTGCACGGAGGCTGGAATGTATGCTATTCGAGCGAGAAGGAAAACTGTTACGGAGAAAGACTTTTTAGATGCTGTCAATAAGGTCATTAAAGGGTATCAGAAGTTCAGTGCAACACCGAAGTACATGGTCTATAATTGATTGAGCCTCGTTTTGGCTCTTGAAGAAGGAAACATGGGCAATGAACAGGAACAAGGAGCTTTCATTTGACCATGAAAATTATGAATTTCTGGCTGCTCGTTTTTTACTGCCTGGAAGATGCAGGATTTGCTGCTCTTGTGCAATGTAATGTCTGATGATCTGTTGTCGGTACCAAAACTAGTAACTCAATTTCTCTGTTAATTCTTTGTTTCAGCTTCTCAATTTCAGTTCCTGCTTGCATTCCTAGATTTGTAATGTGCTATATTCTGTTTCGGTTCCCGATTTTACACGTTTTAAAGAGGTCCATTCAGTTTTTGTTCTACGCATGCTTACTGGTAGATGTACCGGCAGATTGATTTTTTTGTTGAGTAGGTTATTCTGACAACCTTGTAGTATGACTCAGCGATAATATTGTATTTTAAAATTCTGTACTTAAAACTTTTTATATAGAGGATTAAACCCTCCACATATAATGAATGTAAAAGTATAAACAATACTCCTTATATTTCAAAATCCCAGTGCTTCTTATACTAATGGTAATCTTGTAAAATTTAAATTAGTGATTGTAAAATTTAAAGGGAATTCCACAGCTTAGCATTATTTCGATTAATTGCTCGTTGAATATTAGACGCTTGTTAGCGTGTTCCACACTTACATGACTTTAATAACACACCATATTATAGAAGTGTTTCAATCTATGAATGTACAAACTCAATTTGTACTGGCAGCAAACCGAAATAGAAACACAAGTGGGAGATTGACCGTTCTTGGGTGCCTCAGATCTCGCTTCACCAATGGGCCAATTTGTTCAGTCTCCATCAGGAGGAAGAGGCCGAAACCAATGTTTTCGGCTTACATTTGTTGGAGTTGATGTTGATTAGTACATTTTTATGACTTTTAAAGTTGAACACTACTAAACTGGGGATGCTAGTTCTGAGCGATAAAAGGCCCCAGTGGATTTGGAACCCGTCCTTATTTTTCTTCAGATCTCATAACCCTGACTACAATATAAAATAATTTAATGCAAGTCCTTAAGTGGAGCCATAATAGACGTGATCAATTGATTTAGAAGTATCAAGTTCACATGTTGAGGAAGCTGTGGACAATTATTGTTAGATTTTGTCAAGCAGGCAAAAGGAAAAAGTCATACTTGCTTGTCCTCCGTTTCTAGAGTGATACTGCTGCAATAAGTAACTCATTTCTTGATCAGCAAATAACCACTGATTACAGCTATTAACTTTGACAGTATGTCCGTGAATAAGCTATCAGATCATAGTTTCTAAAGTGATGATCAAAGTTATGAAAATGATATTATTTCTTTAATCTCGCTGTGGAACAATTAGAAGGAAGAAGAAGTTCAAGTAGAAGAAAAGAACTGAAAAAAATAAATTATGCACTATGAACAGATTTTAGCATCATGTATTGGTACAATGCACTCCGAGTCTGCAAAACAACAGTATCAGTTGTTTCTCATAAACGCAAAGAATAGAAAAAAGACACCTCCACGTGTGTTAGAATAGGCATCATGTTGAGTACTCAACGTTGCATGGAAACTATGGTTCATAGTCCTGAGCATCTGCTTCACCCCTTGGACTAGCCTGATCAACACCAAATGTCCTCTTGCTCATGTTTGCTCGTTGCACTAGCCTAACTAATGCTTCAACCACTTCCGACATAGGTGGCCTGAACTCAGGCTCGGGCTGCCACATAAAAAAGAGGTACATTGAGATAATGTGGAGTGACTCGACTAGATTAATGAAAACTAAAAGCAGATCTATGAAGCTCACTCACTTCCAGTTCGAAATAATACCTGGACACAGAGAGCTATTACATCAGCAAAGCGTGATAGGGATTTAACAGGATAGAGCCCCTCGAGTGCTGGATCAACCATCTTAGCCAGGGCATCAATGTCATGCAGCTGAGGTGTTGCCCATCTAACTAGAGATTGTTCAGATCTTGTTCTACCGCTGCATTAAAAGAACAAAACACATGATGAAAATTTTGAAAAGCTCTATATTTTCATCTTGCTTCTTCAAGAAATTTGGATAATACCATGGAGTGCTAAATAACATTACCCATCAAAAGGTTTTCGTCCGGTAAGAAGTTCTAACATAACCACTCCAAAGCTGTACACATCACTCTTTATGGTAAACTGCCCAGACATAGCAACCTCGGGTGCGCCATATCCAGATCCTGTATTATGGTTCAGTGCCTGCGAGAAGCGATCGATATAAGATTTCAGGAAACTGGTTTTATGATGAAAAATCTATTCCAACTGAAAGGATAGAGGCAGGAAATAAGACACCTGCTAAAGACTAGTGGATACTTATCAGCTTATGAATCAAATCTTATTTTTAACATGGTAAAGAGTATTCCTTATATTTTGATATTCGATAGTTCATTGTAAAGAGTATTCCTTCTATAGAAATGTTACCGTGGATAAATTATATTTAAGATCTGAATAGAATTTCTGTTTTCTTTTCTCCAAGGACAGATGAATATCCAAAGAGGATGCAAATACAGGCATAGAGGCATGTGCATGAGCTATGTTGCAGGGACTTTCCAAAATGTTGTCGTACCCGTCTCGAATCCTCCAAAAATGCACTACTTTTGGAGGATCCGATACGCACCCGACAATATTTTCGGAGAGTCCGAGCAACATAGTGCATGAGTACCCTTATGCATGTGCATTAGTCAATCAGAATCCACATTCTTACATTAGAAGATATTGCAACATCCAACAAAAAACATCTAGCAAGGAATCCTAAAGCAAGGAGCTCAAGCTACCTGATCTACATCAGCGATAAGACTTGCCAATCCACAGTCTGATAGATGAGGATTGAGTTCTGCATCAAGTAAAATATTTGCAGATTTGATATTCTTGTGAACCACAGACGGTGAACAAACTTCATGCAGATACCTGCGAAGGATGCGTATTTTAGCTAGTCAAGAAACTTGAGAAGAAGAAGACAGAAAGATTAGCATATTCAACATGGTGGCTAAATAATGGCTGGCGACATACATTCTATTTTCTAATGTTCAGATGATGAATCTTCTTGATGCGATGTTCAGATGATGAATCTTCTTCATGCGCGCCTACTGATGTTTAAGATTTTTTATTTTTTTTTTGGTTGATAAATATCATGTTTAAGAAATATGAATTCTAGTGGCCTTCATAATAAGGCACCAAGTCTGATTAAAACCCAGGGACAATGGGTTGCTCTGTACATGTTTTCACATGCAACTCCCAACCCCCCAAAGAAAATAACTACGTTTTAATTAACATTTCATAACATGGTCTTTTCTATTTTATCTCCCCCCTCCACCAAAAAAGAAACTTCATAATTGTCGACTACACATACCAGAAGATCTATGATAGAGACTAACACTTCAACCAAAGATACAAGGAAAAATGAAACTTAGCTACAAGCTCCGTGAACATTATAAAATGGCATCAGATATTTTTTGTAGATCATGAAAACTCACTCTAATGCTCTTGCTGTGCCTAGTGCAATCTTGACTCGGCTATTCCACGTTAGTGGCTTGCTTTCCTCATCTGACAGATGCAGGAAATCATGGAGAGCACCATTTTTGTGGAATTCATAAACCAGCAGGTGCTGCCCATGCTCTGAACAATATCCGACCAGCTCAGTTACATTTGGATGATGCAGCCCGGATATCTCAGAAACTATATCGAGAAAATCTTCAGGATTCTGGAGTGCAGAAGAGTTGATTTTCTTGACAGCAAGAACCTGTGGCATTTCAAAATTAGAAAGGAACTTATGAAGATGGTTCAGTTACACAGGCATAGATGATAGTATCTTTAAAACAAAAGTTTTGAGCAAACATAACTCTTCAACTAAATATTTTTTTTTTGTTATCAAACTGCTCTTCTTTTTTTTCTATTCATAGGTATTTTTCTCTAATGGAGAGCACCCTCCACTTCCAACAAAGAGGTTGTGAGTTCGAGTCACCCCAAGAGTAAGGTGGGGAGTTCTTGGAGGGAGGGAGCCGAGGGTCTATCGGAAATAGCCTCTCTACCCCAGGGTAGGGGTAAGGTCTGCGTACACACTACCCTCCCCAGACCCCACTAGTGGGATTATACTGGGTTGTTGTTGTTGTATAGGTATTTTTCTAATCGAACATTTATCTGCCATTTCAACTGTCTTGCTTCATTACCAGCACAAAATCAATTCATGATATGACATCCATATTCTTTTAAAGACAACATTTTCTTTTCATAGGTAGTCAGTCATAAGGGAGAAAACATACCTTTCCATCATCGAATTGAGCCCGATAAACACGCCCAAAGGATCCCTCACCAATAAGGTTATCAACACTGAAGCTATCAGTAGCCATCTGTAGGTCCGCAATTGAATATTGTCTAGCATTTATTTTAGCTGTATTGACTTTCTTGGGTGGAACAATTGGTTTTGCTGCTATGTCATCTTCATCAAATGACTTGTGACGTTCAATAGGTGGAGGTCTTAGATTTACTACAGCAGGAGCTTCAAATGTTTTCACACTTGGTGCAGAGGAAGCTTGATTAGTTTTCATCTCTGCAGCCAAAGGAGGACAATGAACCAAAAATCCAGACAGCAAAGGAAACACTAGACTGTAAGTACTACAAACACGCAAATGCATGACCAGATTCAGATTAATGAGATACGGAAATGAGATGAGGCTTAAAAGACATAATTATGAACCCACCAACTGACTGATAAAATTGAGAAACGCAAAGAATTAGAATTTGCAAAGAGATGAATTTGGTTGTTGGCACACAATGGGTTAGAATGGGAAAAACGATTTTTCCAGCTATGCACATGAATATGATTCTTCAATTTGCTGAGAGTTGCATTTGAATCAATAGTTGTTCTATGAAGGTCAACTAGATTTCTGAAGAGTGTTAGTTTCATAGGAAGTCAAACCATCAAGGGGACTGACTTATAAATCTTGAGAACAGGCGTATGACCAGATCCACTGAAAGAGAACATAAAACTGAAGTTTTCTTTTTATCCCACTGTCAGCTTCAACAGGTAAAATCAGAATCTAAACATCAGTTTGGATTCTACAATTAAGTTCTTGGAATTTTTCAGTAACTACAAAGTTTTGTTTCCTCGGAAGATAGGACCTGCCACATCTGTGCAGTTTTACATTTTGATGGTAAAGTTTGTTCCTGTGTTTGGTTTTTTTCTTCTATATCAACAGCAGTAGCTGGCTAAGTTTCTTCTATGAACACTAAATAGGTAGTGATCAAGCACAATGTTAAGGTTGATTCCCCAAATTCACTACAGAAAGAGTTCTTTTTATGCAGCAGGTACA